GCAGGAGTGTAACGAACCCTGAAGTGGTAGCTATGGGTTTGTATGATTTGAGCCGAATGGCCGAGAGCCAGAGTGATTATAGCTCGTTCGCTTCTTCTGGTCGGTAGTTAAAGTCCAAAGAAACGAAACCCTCTAGTACAGCTTTCCCAAAGTAGTAATCAGGTACCCAAACACCAGCCGAAACATGATGAAGAATGTAACAAGACTGATGTTTATTGAGTCCACACAGGCTTTTATGGAGGTCCCCTTGCAGGAGGACCTCCCACAGTACACAAACCAAATAGCCAATCATAAGGTACAGTTACTCCTGTGAGATAATGAGATAAGTTAAGGAATAACCCAATTATCTCCAGGCGAAGTGCACACATTTTCCCCAAAACTCAGAACACCCCCAAATGTCACATCCCATGGTAGCCCCGATCTGGGGGAACAACATATTCAAATTTCACCCAGATCGGTTCAGGGGATTTTAAAAAGTGTGGAAGTCTTAAGTTACCGACCGCACACGAAGCTCTTGCCCAAAATAGTTCCACGAATTCAGTGTGTGCGGTCGGTCAATTGTGAAAATGTCAAATAACTACATAATCCACGAACAGAGCCTCCTGGCTCATAGGAGCGATTGTTCCCCTCATATGAATGCATCAAGGTACCGAAAAGCACTCTCCTAGCTGTTCGGGAAATAAAGTTCTATCTGTAACGGATCACCTGGCACCCCGACTGGGTACCTCCATTGAAGGATGCTCCTAGCGCTTCCTGAGGGCTCCAAGCACTCCAGCTGACACCATAACCACCGTAGACTCCTCCAGAGAGCAAGGAAGGAACAAGCTCTTACAAGAGCTTAGGAGTGATTTCGCAAGGGAGTATGACAAGCATAGCAGTCCCTTGTAGCAGATTCCCCCAATAAGAGACGGCACTCCAAATTGAGGGTGAAGTAGAACTGACTGTACTGGCACATACAGCCTCTTTTATTCACATTCTACAAACATAGTACTGCCCACAGGGTTTTGAAGAACAACCAATCAACACATTACAACACAGCTAAAACTCCCATTCATTAAATCAGAAATCCTCCCCTCTGCCTGTGATACAATTATCTCAACACAATAAACTAACTTAATTATCACAGGCAGGAAAATACAGTATTATAAAGCATACACAGGGACTCCAAAACATGCAATAACCCCATAAAAAATATATCCTCAGAACCGGGGGATCTGGGTGAACCACATATTCACCCAGATCCATTCAGTAGTTTGGAAGATACGGTTTAATGCAGATTCCGCAGATCCTATACATGCTATATGCAAAATACTTACTTTTACATGTGTCCCCTGTTCTGTAGTTTAAAACGACTGAACGATGTCTTTGTGCACCAAATACAGGCGAGATGGCACCATGTAGAAAAGTCAAAACAGTGTCTGTGAGTTAAAATGGCCGCCATCCATTGTTCTCACCATGTGCTTCTGATACATGAAATGGTGGCCACCCAGTAACTCCACAGTTTGTCTGGTAGTCTATCCAGCCAAACCAACAGATGAAACACATGGGGAACAGTGCAACAAACAAAGGGAATCAAAAAAAATATGGACAATAGTGATATTTGTGCACAATCTCCAGTTTTGTCACAGGGCACAAATAGTGTTTTCAAATGCCATATATCTCAGGGCCATAGTCAGAAGGTAGGAGGCGGGAAAGCAGCCCCCTCCAAGAACACGTGGCGAGGTCTGTTCCACCACACTATCGTTCGTATGTTTGAGACTGGTGTTCGGGAAGTCGAATGTCCGATTTTAGTTCCAGACACTCAACAACCAAGTCCCGCTGCCTTTGTCCCGAACAAACAAGATGGCCGACGTTTTCTCCGCCATGTGGCATTCGTATATACGAATGGCGGCCACCCTGAGAGAGCGCTTAATTGACGGGCTGCTTTGAAGTCAATGAGCCAGGATGGTGATCAATCTACCGAACCAATGTGGCATAAAATAAACAAATAAACCAAATAGACGAATGTTCAGAGAAAACCCCGAAATCCTGGTGGATTTAAAACATAAACATGGGGGAATAGGTTTCCCAAACATTTTCCTATACCATCAAGCGGCCCTGTTGATGCACACAATTATCACAATTAATTAAGACAATTATACTCAGAATTGGTTTGAAATTGAATCGGATGATATCAAAGAGCCATATAATGTGGTTAATTTGATGTGGCTTATAAGAACTGACAGTTAAAGTAAAAGCAAGCCAAGTCAAACTGATAATCTAATATTAAAACCCCTAGTTAAATTCTGGATCCATTTTAAAAATCAAATACATTTAAAAGATAAAATCTTACCAACACTACCACTTAGGTATCTGAATAAATGGATTGAAAATTTGGATACAAGCAAGTGGACTAGAGAGAGCATTAAGAAAATCTCAGATTTATATAGAGAGAGGAAGATTATGGTCTTTAATGATATACGGAGTATATTTGGATTCCCGGCAACCCAGAACTTTAAAGGATCACTATACTGTCAGGAAAACAAACCCGTTTTCCTGACACTATAGTGCCCTGAGGGTGCCCCTCTCGTGAGGCTGAAGGGGTTAAAACCCCTTCATCCACTTACCTTATTCCAACGTCTGGCTCCCTCGGCGCTGGTGACTTCTCCTCCCCCGCCAACGTCAGCTCCCCCGTCTGACGTCAGCGGAGCCGAATGCGCATGTGCGGCAAGTGCAGAGCGCGCATTCAAAGTGTCCATAGGAAAGCATTTCTCAATGCTTTCCTATGGACGCTCTGCGAGATGGAGGCATAATATGCCTCCAGCGGCGCAGATGCGCCTCTAGTGGCTGTCCGGAACACAGCCACAAGAGGCTGGCTTAATCCCAAATGTAAACATAGCAGTTTCTCTGAAACTGCTATGTTTGCATCTGCAGGGTTAAAACCTGAGGGACATTGCACCCAGACCACTTCATTGAGCTGAAGTGGTCTGGGTGTCTATAGTGTCCCTTTAACTTCATTAGAATAAAGAGCTTTTTATACAGCTCTATATGTTATTTAAATGAGACATCTGCTGTTTCTAAATTAAATGAGCTAATGTAGCGGAGTAGCAGTATAATCCACGGTATCTCCGCTGGTAGTCAGGATAAAGCAGGTAAAACACAGGCAGCGTAATAATAATCCCTCTTCCCAGGGCCGGATTAAGAGCATAGTGGGCCTGGTGCTGACAATTATGATGGGCCCAATTACGGAATCTTATCGACCAAAAACACTAAAACCGTCATACCTCCCAAGCGTCATGTATCTGATGGAGATGGTGCTGGAGGGAAACTCATAGGGTGCAGCTATAAGAAATCACATACTCTATGATAATGTCTCTCTAATTTATGCTTTCATCTTTCAAGTAAATCCATAATCCCTAACAGCAGTGTCCAGTCAAGCAGGAAGTCAATGGGCGGGGTAAAAGGGTGTGCCACTGGCGCAAATCACGTGACAAGACCTGCCAAAAGGGGTGAACATGCCCAAAAAGGAAGGAAGGAAAGAATTGGAAGGTCAGCCAGGCATGAATTCATGTCAGACTGCCTGCCAATCCTACAGGCTGTCCAACTAAGGGCAAACTATGCAGGCTGCACCTTGAGCTTGGCATAAATGCGTCTAATGATGCGCTCACTCCATGCTTTCTAAGGACTGTCCCCTAGCACTCGCTGGTCCACTTGTCTCCTTACCTTCTTACTAGCAGGCAGAAGTTCCTGGTGTATAGTCTGAGACAGAGAAAATGTGTCTGTAGTGAGTGTAGAAGAAAGGGAACATGCCACAGTGTTAGAGAGACCAATGTCTGCATTACCTAAACTAACTTTAATGTCAGCAAGTGCACACAAGTTTTGTTCCCATACATCCCTCTTAAGCTTCCAAACTTAAAGGGACACTATAGTCACCAGAACAACTACAGCTTATTGTATTTGTTCTGGTAAGTAGAATCATTCCATTCAGGCTTTTTGCAGTAAACACTGTCTTTTCAGAGAAAATAACTCCACTGGCTGCTCCTTAGATGGCTGCTAGAGGTGCTTCCTGGGGCAGTACCGTCTAGTGTGCAGCACTGCCATTCAGTGTCTCCACCCTCTGCATGCAGACACTGCTCATAGAGATGCATTGATTCAATTTATCTTTATGAGGAGATGCTGATTGTCCAGGGCTATGTTGGACTTGTGCTGGCTCTGCCCTTGATCTGCCTAGTTGACAGTCTCAGCCAATCCTATGGGGAAATATTGTAATTTGCTCAGACCACCACTTCTGAGCCAGCAGCTGCAGAATTGAATACAAGTAATATTTTACTATATTTAGGGAGGCAAGAAGGGGCCAGGGTGGTGGTTTTAACATAATAGGGTCAGAAAAACATGATTGTGTTCCTGACACTATAGTGCTCCTTTAAGCAAGAGTATGTGAAGAGTAGTTAAGGTTGCCACCTTTCTTGGAAAAAAATACCAGCCTTAATCATTTGTATCATTAATTAGTTATGCGTGACATCACATGATGTAAATCACAAGGAGTGACATCAGAGAAAATTCTGTAAAATCACCAAACTACTCACAGTTTGATTCTGCTGTATAGATGAATTGCTCCCAGTGTCTCCCTGTCTCCCAGTGTCTCAGTCTCGCAAGTCACCTAGTGTCTCAGTGTCCCTATGTATCACAGTGTCAGTGTCCCCATGTCGCCCAGTCCCCTAGTCTCCCAGTGTCTGTGTCCCCATTTCTCCCAGTGTGCCAATGTCTCAGTGTGTCCCCATGTCACTAGGATACTGGGGACACTGAGAGACCCGGGGACACTGAGACACTAGGAACACTCTGGGAGACATGGAGACACTGAAACATTTGGGGACACTAAGACACTAGGGACACAGACACTGGGAGACTAGGGGACTCTGGGAGACTAGGGGACACTGGCTGGGAGTCAGACACTTGGGGAGACATGGGGACAGTTGTGGACATAGACATGGGGACACTGGGACACATGGGGACACTAGGCACACTGAGAGACATGGGACACAGATACTGGGAGACTTGGGGACACTGAGACACTAGGGACACTGGCTGGGGGACATGTGTCTCAGCATCCCCATGTGTCTCAGTGTCCCCAGGTCTCCCAGTGTCTGTGTCCCCATGTGTCCTAGTGTCTCAGTATCCCCTAGTGACAGTGTCCCCTAGTGTCTGTGACCCCTAGTGTCTGTGTCCCCAAGTGTCTCAGTGTCCCCATGTTTTCCAGTGTCCCCAAGTGTCTCAGTGTTCCCAGGTCTCCCAGTGTCTGTGTCCTAGTGTCTCAGTGTCCCCTAGTGTATGTCATCATGTGTCCCCTAGTGTCTCAGTGTCCCCATGTGTCCCCTAGTGTCTCAGTGTCCCCTAGTGTCTGTGTCCCCATGTGTTCCCTAGTGTCTCAGTGTCCCCAATGTGTCCCCTAGTGTCTCAGTGTCCCCATGTGTCCCCTAGTGTCTCAGTGTCCCCATGTCTCCCTGCTGCCTTTCCCCCCATCCCTCACTTACCTGAGCTGTAGAGCTGCTGTCTGGACTCTCTGTGCAGTGTAGCTGCTCCCCCGCGGATCAGTGAGTAGTAGAGAGAGGCAGGGATATGCTGTAACTTCCTATCCCTGCCTCTCTCTGGCCGTTGCTGGTATTGCAGAGTAATTTCCATTTATACCTGCACAGCCAGGCAGCCTCAAATACCGTCTGTGCCAGTAAAATACTAGTCAGGTGGCAAACCTAAGAGTAGTGTGTAAAAAAAACACACTAAATGGGCCTATTCCATGGGCCTGGGCCTGGAGCTGCAGCTCCATCAGCCCCTATGTTAATCCGGCGCTGCCTCTTCCCCAAGGACTAGACGACACATAGTCTGGGATTCAACTGTCATTTTATTCCACGGTCACAGTATTTATGCAAGTCCCCATGCAAGGGGTTTCCTGAATGACATTGCAGGGGTTTTACTACAGAGGACTATGTGGGGAAGTTAGCCTGCATGGCTGTTTCCCAGCATGCCTTGCTGTACAGGAGAGATAATTGTGCAAGAATGTACTGCTAATCACATTATCTCTCCGTACAGCAAAATATACAGTTTTACATAAAAATACATAACTGATATAATATTCAGACAAATTGTACACACTGCATATAAAACGAGCATAGCAACAGTTAACAAAATATTCACCCTAAGTGTCCAGAAGTGGCTAGGTTTGCCACAGTGTATGTGAACACTATGTTCAAATGCAGACGTTATTTTTACATTCTGTTGTCATTTTCAGTAAGCTGTGCTGCTAATGCCATCACAGTCCTTACAAATGACTACTAGCAAGCTATTTGACCATTTTTATTTATCGATTTTTGCCAGACCTTCTACGTGTGAGCATTTTTTTTTAGCATTTTACACTTTTATACTAACATTTAAGACCCTGTGTGAACTATTACACGATAAAGCATACTGTATACTGTGTAACGCTTTTTATTTCCCAAATAATTTTATAAAGGCTGAACAAAGTGAAAAATTAAAATTGTGTCAATTTAAATATTTTCAGTATTAAATTTGTTTGCAATACACAAAGTTGCTGCTATGATATGTTTATTTGCTAGCTATAAAATACATTATGCTAATATTCAATATTCATCAAAAAGTGCTCAGGACCATAACCACTGCAGCTCACTGCCATGAGTGCCCCGGCAAGGAGAAGATAAGGAGCTGTACCTTCGGATCTCAATTAAGAATTAAAACTCTTCCAAACCAGTTTGACTCCTTACAATGTGGTGGCGCCTGGGCACTCCTGGCCCAATAACCATAATAGATGTACCTATTATAGTGCTTGTAGTATTCCTTTAATTAGGTTCGGAAATTGACAAACATATAAGTGATTGATTGCTTACCTGAGAGAAACACAAGCTACAGACATACATTTATAAATGAACTTAAACAGGAAGAAGGGGCTTGGCGTGACACTGACTACCTTGGTCATCGCATTTTGCCTAGTAAACGGTAAATGTTGGCGAGGAGCGTGTTTATTATAAATGGAGAAAATTGGTAATATTTATCAAAGTGTTCTGAAAACATATGGTTAAATTCTGTTATTGTTTTGATCGCATTTATTAAAGTAAGCTAATAGGTGCCATTTTTTCCCCTGTAGTAAATTCCACCAGTTTTCACAAAAATTTCCGTTTTAGAAAATTGCCAAATTTGTAGTGTAGAACAATTCTGCCTCTTTAGCTGACAGAAAGTGGCAGAACTCCCCTGCCACTATAAATGTAGCAGTGGTGGAACTTTAAAAAGTGTGTTATTCATTATTAAGAGTTATTGTATTAATTTGACAAGAGTTTGCAGGATGTTAATAATGTGATGTCCTATGACTTTGTAATACAGCCCTATGTTGTTATCTATGTTATATGAAAGAATTTGTGCTTTATTAGACACTATGCTATAGTTTGTTCAAATTGTAAATGGTATAATCTGTATAAATGAACTGCGGAGTGACCGTCACCACAAATGGTTATATAAGGAAAGCTATGCCCCTTACACACAGGAGAACATAGGAGGAATTTATGAAGTGATAGGTGGGAATAGACATGGGGGACATTTTATATGTAGTCCGTCGATGTTATTGTACATTGAGCTGCCTAATAAATGAATTCCATGTATTTATTGTATGTAACATTTCCAAAGAGAGATTACTTTGGTTAAATATCATTGACCTGTCCTGTTCCTTTAATTAGAATGTCTGCAAGATGCCGTCGGAGCAGATATTGGTGTAGTATCTATAGAAAGAGTGAACGTTCACGGATATTGCTGGAGATACACTGTAGCTGCCTGTTGCTTGTGATCCATGTGGCTGACATACTGGTTGGCCTCTGCATAAGATAACAGATATTATTAGTCAGCTGATTTAAACATGATGTACAGGACTTCAGCAAATACATCCAAGTGATGCTAAGGACAAACTGCGCTAAAACTGCAAATATTCTATATACGTGGTCTGTCCGGAAAGTATCCAGACATGTAATATGAAAAATAGAGACCTTTATTGAAGAAGATACAAAATAAAAAAAACTTTGTACATAGAACATAGTACATAGCCTGTCCCTGCAGCCTCAGCAGTGTAAATACTGCCTTTTCAGAGAAAAGGCAATGTTTACATTGCTGCCTATGACTACCTCTAGTGGCTGTCCCTCTGACAGGCTCCAGGTGGACTCCCTCGGTCTCCACTCTGAGCGTAGTTAACTGTTAAAGTGGCACTAGGAGAGAACATAGAACATGGCAGTGCTGAGGAATAAGACATTAATCTTCCATCTCTGCCACCTTGTAAGCAGACATGTCACCTTGAGGGAGTTTTCCCCCAAAAATGGAGGAACCCAAAAGTGAGATCTTTCACAGGGTTTATTACCGTGTAACAGATACAGTTCATGCCTTTTCCGAGAGAGTATCTGTCACAAGGGTGGATCTGGGCACGGTATTTTAGAATCTATTCAGGGGTCACTCACAGATAAAATGACGTGTTGTATCCACGTTAATAAATACTAAACATCTTTCCATCTGAGTGCTATTTTTAACAATATTGATACATTTCTATATACATACTAGATTGTAAGCACACACGCGTTACTGTACTCCTCTCATTGTTAACATTTGCCAATTACTGGGTTTATATATGTAGCCATTGTATCATTGTAATATGCTGCAGAATATGATCATTTAGTATATACCCCGTGGGTCTATATGTATAAAGAATACATGGGAGAGGTACTTACTATGAGGCTGGGTCCATCAGTAAGTGCTCACAGATGTTGCCTTTAAAGAGAGAGACGAGGTTGCTGGTCAGTCTGTGTACGTGCATGAATTGCCCAATAAATCTGTGTCAGCTCATGAATGAATGAATGCCGTTCATTATACAGTGCGAAGCGGCCATTTCACTCATTAGTAAAGTTTTAATTAGCAATTAATGTGGTTTATCTCCGCTCTATCTCAGGAAGAACAGATCCTTGTTTTAGTCATTAGTCTGGGATACCCACAGCATGGGCCACTTCCAATCCCAATGAATGGCTCATTATTCTATGAAAAGTGGGTTTATTCTATTTTAGTAGAACTGGATGTCTTTCATCCTTGATTAGGGAACAAGTGAAAACATAAGATGAAATTTAAAGGGACAGCTGAAATTTAAACAACACATTTTTACTGCATTATTGATAAAATATTGCTATAAAAAAATGTGCTGGTTCTATTTGGAACGCTATCTCGATTCTCCCTCCTTCCATGCACTTCTGTCTTCAACAAACATAAGTTTTTAGCTAGCGGCACTCGATTCTGCTCCCCTTTCCACTTTTAATCTCTCCTCATTAGAACAACTGTTCCTACCAATATATATTTAATACACATTACTCAATTCTATTTCTGATTGACTACTGTTTATTCTGCTCTTATAAACGCATGGACACTGTTATCTTTTCTCTTGCTGTTTTTGCGTGTGTTCAATCTTGTTTATACAACTAATCTGTTTTTCAATAGAAGTATTTTACACTGAAAAAAATACATCTCCATTTTTTTCCTTTGCTATAAATCCCTGCACAAACCAGGAACTCGCTGAGGTTGTTCAGCCAATCCTGGCCTTCACAATATTTCAGTGGGAGAGCAGTACTAATCACTAAATTCCTTGTGGCCTGTGCTACTCTAATTGCTTAACGTTATTTCTCCCTGTAATTGGGTCCAAGAGGGTGGCAGACTCAGTGGGATGTCCTTATGGCTGTAAATGATACTTACTGTGCTGCTGGCTGGGTTAATCTTCAGGATGTGTTTCTTAATTAGATCCGTCACCTGCAATACGTGAAACAAATATTTATCTCATTAATAAGCACTCAGCACTCAGCATAATAACATCACAAATTCGTTTTTGCAGGATTATTTCGCATAATAATAAAGGATTTTTAGCTTGTCAAAAGAACAAGGAAAAGTGGGTGGATATGGATGAATATCTCCTATGTGGGGAATAACCCCTAGTGAATAACTTCACCACAAATACAAAACTAAAGAAAGAAAAGAAGGAGAAAAGTAGGACAGACTAATCCCAATAGTCCTAATAGAGTGGATTTCCCTTTAAGAGAAGGGAAATTGTATCGGGAACAGTTAGTGCCTATGTAGAATATTGCATATTC